TTCCCGGTGGGAAGAAGCACTTGGTACATGTGCCAACCTCCCTGAGCTGAAAGACGTGCCTACAGTACATCGAGTACGAGTGTGACGTGACATGAGTGCAGGGTGGGCAGAAAAAAGCCCATTGCTCATCACGATGTGCTCCAGATTGGACGCAGATAGATTTACGTGTTTGGGAGCTGAGAAGCGAGCTTCATCAGAGGACACGGCAGGGGTTTGCTCGTACAGTTACTCTTTGGACCGCTGCTGGAGAGATTGGAGACTGGGGACTTGGGGGAGCCATAGATGGAAGAGGGCACAGCGATCGCCGCAAAGGGCAGTGCATCTGCGAACGACGGCAGAAGCAAGCAGTGAACGCGCCCATTTTTAGCGAACCAGCGAAAGCGAAAGAGTGTGAAGGGGGAAAAGCCCACAAGAAGCACCCAGCGCTCCGTCACCCTTGTGCGACGCGACAGCGGTAACCCGTCGACCTGGTCTGCGCCGGGCTGCGTTGGCTCGCCTGGACAGCACCGCCGGAGGTAGCTCTTACGGCGGACAGACGAACCGGCAAAACGTGCGTCTCTGCCGTCTGGTCACATATCACAAACCCGCCATCTGCGTCCCTCGTTTTGGTGTCTCTCGCATGCCGGATCACCAACCAGACTAGAACCTGTCTTGTTTTTTTTGCCTCCATGCTTCCCTCAGTTCGCTGACATGCCGAAGCGCCCCCCTCTCTCCCCTTCTTATTCCCCTCTCCACGATGCGTGCGTATGTTTGAGAGACAGAGACAGCGCGTTCCCGCTTTGGATGCCCGCCCGCCAGCACCTTGCCCTCCCCAGCCCACTACGAGCCCTGATGCGTACAGATCACGTCGATCTTTCCAAGTCAACTCGGCCGGGAAGGGAAGGAGGGAGGTATGTGCACCTGCGCGTGCGCGTCTCTCTTTCAGCTCTCGTCGACGTAGCTCTGTACCCTGGGTTTTCTGTGCCTGTCTCGGTCTTCCATGCGAACCAATTCTGCTTTGGGGGCAAGGCAGATAGATTGGCGGTACAGCCAAGGGGGGGTGGGAGAAGAAGAGGAGCCTGACAAGAACGCGACCATCTGTAGCCGGGCGCGGGAATCTTCGCTGATCGGCGGTCTCAGAAGGCGTGTGTGTGAGGACGTCCGGCGAGTCCGGCGGCTCAGCTCGGCGGAGGGAGAGGCGACCTCTCTGCCCGCCTATTGTCCTTGTAGGGGGGGATGGAGAGAGCGGGCCTACCTACCACGCCCTGTTCGGGGTGGCGGTTGGTTGGAGTGTGCCGAGGCTGCTGTCTCTTGTCGCTTTTTTACCTACGGGGTCATGTCCGCTTCCGACGGGACGGTTGTGTCCACTGTGTCATGATATGTGACAAGTCGTGGATGGGCGGCGGGATGTAAGGGAGGACATGAGCGGGCTACGTGCTCTGCACGTTTGGTTTCGGGACGGTCATGAGCCCATCTGAGAAGGGATAGAGAAGGGAGTGGGTTTCAGGCTCCGCCGCCGCCTGCGCGAGGGCGCGCCCGCGTGTTCGATTCCCTGTTCCTCGGCGGTTGTGGTCCAGACTCTTTGTTGGTGATACGATCCCGTGTAAGGAGATCCTGTGTTTCCTTACGTGATGTGTGGCCGATCATGACGTGAAGTGATCTGACATGCCACGCACAGTGACGCGTTTACCATTCAGTTATACGACGTTGATGATCTTTTGGGACACGATAAGGTTTTACCTTGAGGAGGCTCTCGGTTGCACTATTTTGGCGCGTTTTGCGCGCGTCTCCTCGGGTAAACCCTGACAAACTGGGCAGGATTTGAATGTAACCCAAACCAAATCACGAAACATACCGTGTTATCGAAGCCTTTATGATATTCTTCAGAGTAGTTTTTTTTTTTTTCGAAATTGGTTTACAGGGCATTATAGATAAAGAATGGTGCTGGTCGATCGATCATCGAAACCTGAAAAAAAAATGAAAAAAAAAACTCAGAACGCCTTGGACCTTCTTTTCAGCCATCTTCCTTCCGCATGCTCTTTTCCCCGCCACCCGTGATGCTAGTCTGCTATCTTGCGTGTCATGTCATGAATTTTCCAGTATCCTCATCAGCTGCTGATTACTCGCAAACCAGCTCGCCAGAGGATTGCCCGATGAGTCAACCTGCAGCCCTAGGTTCGCCATGAACTGATCCTCGGCCGTCTGTGCCGCCACCTCGCCAGGCGTGAACGCCATGCTCTGACTCGAAAAAGGCACCGACGTCTGACCTGCGGGCGCCACCCCGCCGCTGGTGACGGTGCCGGTGCCGCTCCCGCTCCCGTCGCCTCCCGTGCTCCAGGCGTCCACCTGCAGGGAACTGCTCTCCTGGACCGAGATGTAGCGCACGGCGACGCTGTAGAGGGCCTGGAAGAGGCGCAGTTGGTTCTGGGTAGAGAGGTGGCGCGACGAGTAGGCCGTTCCCTCGAGGGTATCGAGGAAGCTGCGCAGGACCTGGAGATCTGCCCTGCTTGACGTTTCGATGGCGTGGCAGAACAGGATGGTGAAGGGCACGAAGGGGGTTTGTAGGAGGGACCTGGTTTCTCCAACGTCAGCTGCCCCCGTTGCATTGCGACTTAAGAGCCCGTTTCAAAGACACCAGAGTAGGAAAGCGGGGGGGGGGGAGGGGTTTAGCTTGCCAGTCGATGAAGAGGACAATGTAAGCCGATGTCTTGACGGTTTGCGTCTGGGTCAGGGCTTTGAGGCACTGCTCATGCTCGTCGAGAGCCTGGCGCGCCGTGGCGATGCACTCCGCTGCAAATGAAGAGATAAAGGGTTCCGTCGGCGGGAGGCTTCGATAGGCCAGCGTCAGCATGGAAAGGTACGCGATCCGATCTGCGCGCCAGGTGAGCTCCGAGAGGGGAGATTGGCCGCCGCGCCCTGCCTGGCTGACGATTTCTCTCTGTGAGCGAACACGGTCAGCGCGACATGCATGCATCGGGTTGACGTGCTCTGGTGAACGACGAACCTCCAGCGCCTCGGATGCCTCCCTTAGGCTCTTGAGGTCATCGATTAGCGTGCGTGCCCGCTCGTAGCGGACTTGCTGCGGCTGGAGAAACGCCCCCAGACTGTAGATTTCATCGTAGAGCCGGCCCTGTAGGGCCCCTGCTTGCGTCCACAGCGGCGTCAGTTTGTTGATGAGCAAGTCGGGTCCTGTCGGTTGTTTGGGGCGCGGAATGGTGATGTCACTGTCGCGAATGTTGGAGGAGCGGCCCAAACGCAAGGCAAGCCCCTTTTCGCTCCCATATACGGCCCAGAAGAGCCGAAAATTCCTCACCTGCTGCGCGGACGAAGCTGGATGGAGCGAGACAGCGCTGTGCAGGCCGAGGGCCTGACAGGCGTGTGCACTCTTCGAGATGAAGGACCATGCGGCTGTCGTCTTGATGGTTTGGAGACAGTAGGTGGTCTGTCAGGTCAGCGCGTGATCAGTAGTTCAGTAGTTAAGTTTCGGAGGGAAGAAACACGGAGGGGAAGTATGGGGCGGCTTTTGATGCTGCCGGAAAACAACTATACTGTACTGACCGCCATATTCAGCGCGTAGATGTAATCCATGGTATTTGGTACGTGATATCCCAAATGAGCCAGCAGCGTTTCAAGGTTATCCCGGCAAAGATATGATTGCGCGGTATAATCATTCATCTCGTCTTCATCTTCCATAAAACTGGCGCACTCGAGAAACAGCCAGAACATGCCCGTGTTGAAGATGATGAGCTCTGCTTCAGACGATGGCCCGGGGGAGCAGACTCTGATGACATATTCTGTGAAATGGCCCATGGACTCAAACTCGGGCAGCCACAAGGCCTCCACCATGTCATGTTCTGCCATTGAGGTTAGAATCTGGTACCAGGAGACGTAGCGGCAGAAACGCACCTTGAGCCATACGTAGACAGCCAAAAACCTTGTCGGCTGCCGGCGTAGGGAAGTTGACTGGTTTTCTCCCGTCCTCCAGCGGCCTGGCGTGCGGAAACAAGGTTTCTGAGGAGTCGGCTGTCTGATTCTGAGCATCGGCAATGCTGCTTAGGGTCTGCATGACAGGTGCCATTTCCACAGTGACCCTCGGGGAAGGGCTGTTACCGACCACATTCTGAAGGAAAGCCGTGGCGAACAATGCATGCGCAGAGATGGAAGACTCGCCGCCGAACTCTGACTGAAGCACTGCCGGTGACCTGCCAGATCCGATAACAGGGGTTTGAACCGAAGTCGGAGACGGTCGCGTCGAGGTGGCAGCTGAGGCAGCGCCGTGCTGGGTAGGACCTGGGCTTGAACCCGGCTGATGCTCGTGATGAAGCTTCTGTAGCATGTACTTCAAGTCGTCGACCGTCTTCGCGATGTGCTCAATATTTTGCTCTCTGCAGTGGATATTTAGCTATGCCCTTTTCTCCCTGTGGGGTTGGGTGAGTGCAGCTACAAATCATTCGAGACCCTGACACGCTGCCTACGAATTCTTGGCTTATAGCCCAACTCGTAGGTGCAAGATAATTCTAAAGCCAAACATTTCTGGCATGGATGCCCTCTACTACACTTGATCTAAGGTACGGTGTGTGAGTGATAGCCCGCTTGCTCATGAGCGCGACCTGGAGCCGTGTGACAGTAGCCTCGCTAAAGCTTGCCTTACCTTTCGCCGACGACATCGGTCGCACTAGGTACTCTGAAATCAGCACTATTTTCTCCTCGTAGACACATCAACAAGACAAATGTTAGCAAATGATCGGAAAAGCAGACTCACAGCCAGCGATAATTCATTCCCCGCTTCGCCGGCAGGGTTCGTGTCACTGCCCTCCCCTTCGTCCATGGCTGAGTGAGACGCTCAGGGCGCCAGTCGCAAGATGACGGAGTTCGGAGCTTTCGCAAAGACGACCATGCGGCGCAAATCCTTTGATCTACTGCGCAAGACTCATCGGTCGACAGTCAGTGGCCCCCGGAGGCCGTGAACAACGAGAGCTGACGTTGATGACGGCGGCCGGAGCCTCCGAAAGACCGTCATCTGACAAAACTGATTAGCTAATCTACGCCAAGTATGGAGAGTATCGAGGACGACGTCGGTTGTCGGAGCCTCCGTCACTCCTTCAGACTGGGTCATCCACAGCTGCGCAGCCCGCGAGATGCGGCCCCGAATTGAAACGGAGGTGATGCCGATGCCTTCGGGCCTGTGTAAGTAGTGATGTGTCCGTATATAGTCTTGGCCCCGGGCTCTGCAGGAGGACTGTTCGGGCCACTCTGCTCACGTATATGGCGACGTATTTCGACAGAAACTCGGGACAGTCATTTCACCCACCTCTACTGTCAATGTTCTCATAGACATTGGTCGTCCCTTCATAGGCAAACATGACTGCCGCGAACGTCGCGGAGAAATCTTCAAACGCTACCGCCTATACAGAGCCTCCCACTCCTTCAGGCCTCAAGGCCTATTTGGTATGCGCCCCTGAAGGCCACCGTTCAACCAGGAAACCTCATGCTGACATGTCTGCCCAGCGTATCTTCACAAATGGAGACGTACAACTGTATGCCCTCGAGGCGGTGGCTATCATCGCTGCCATAACCTCTGGAGTGGCCCTTGCTCTCGTCAATGTTGTTCTAGGCAACTTTGTCACCATTCTGGGCAACGCCACGGACGGTGGGCTCTTTCCAGATGGATTCATGTCTCGTGTACAGACGGCAGCGTGAGTACTTTTGCTCCCTGACAGCTTGACTGGCGATGATCTGATCCATCCTCATTTCAAGCCTTCGATTCGTATACATTGGCATTGCGCGATTCTGTGGCACCTATATCTACGCGTCCCTCTTCACATATGTTGCTCACCGCATGACACGAAACATTCGCTGCGCCTACCTCCGCGCCGCCTTGAGCCAGGAGATTGCCTTCTTCGACCAGGGAGCCAGCGGCTCCATAGCCATGCAGGCAACGACGAACGGCAAGCTCATCCAGTCCGGCACCGCCGAGAAGCTCGGTCTCTTCGTCCAGGCCATGTCGACGTTCATCGCCGCCTTTGTCGTGGCGTTTATCGCCGACTGGAAACTCACTCTGATCATCTCCTGCATCATCCCGGCCCTCCTCCTGATCAGCGGCCTGGTCGCATGGCTGGACGTTATCGTGGAGACGGGAATGCTTCAGGTGTACGGCCAGGCTGGTAGCTACAGCGAGAGCATTCTCGGCGGCATCCGTGCCGTCCATGCGTTTGGCTTGCGAAACCGCCTCGTCGCCAAGTACAAGGCCGAGTTCCTCGACGATGCGTACAAACGCGGCATGAAAAAGAACGTTCTCTACGGCATCCTCTTTGGTGGCGAATACTCCGTGCTGTACTGCGGCATGGGCCTGGCCTTCTGGCAGGGCATCAACATGGTCGACAGGGGCGCGATTGACGACATTGGCGTCGTCTTCACGTAAGTATTCCGGCCGCGTTTGGTCCGTCGTGCGTTCCCGGACTGATGTCGAGTCAGGGTTGTCTTCTCTATCGTCATTGCGGCCATGATGATCACGTCGATTGCACCTCATATGCTGGCCTTTGGCCGCGCGGCGACGGCCGCCGCCGAGCTCTTCACGCTCATCGACCGTGAGTCTGCAATTGATCCGTTTGGCGAACATGGCGAGAAGCCTCGCCACGTCGCGGGGAACATTGAGATCCAGAATGTCACTTTTGCCTATCCCAACAGACCTGAGGCGACGGTTCTGCAGGACTTCACCCTCCGCGTTCCGGCTGGCAAAGTCACTGCTCTGGTGGTAAGTCATGGCTAGTGCTGAGAGTGCTGTGTCGACACGACTCTGACACGGGTATAGGGACCCAGCGGATCTGGCAAAAGCACCATCATTGGCCTCCTGGAACGCTGGTATGACCCACGTCAGGGAAGAATCACGCTTGACGGCATCGGCCTCGGCGACCTCAACCTGAGGTGGCTGAGGACAAATATCCGTCTTGTACAACAGGTAAGAACCCATGTCTGCGACGAAGAGAGCATGGCACTTCTTCTTGTCTTCGATTACAAGGCCCAGTGGCACGTTGGCTGACCTTGTCCAGGAACCGGTTCTCTTCAATGGCACCGTCTTTGACAACATAGTCAAGGGGCTCATCGGAACAGCCTGGGAAGATGCCTCTACCGAAGAGAAGAAGCGACGAGTACAGAACGCCGCCGAGCTGGCTTTCGCACACGACTTTATCACCGACCTAGCCCAGGGCTACGACACCCCCATCGGACAAAGAGGTAGTCTTCTCTCGGGCGGTCAGAAGCAGAGGATCGCCATCGCGCGGAGCATCATCTCGGAACCAAAGATCCTGCTTCTCGACGAAGCCACGAGCGCGCTCGACCCTCAGGCCGAAGGCATCGTCCAGAAAGCCCTCGACAACGCCTCGAGGAACCGCACCACTATTACGATCGCGCACAAGCTCGCCACGATCCGCGGCGCCGACAACATTGTCGTCATGTCCCACGGCCGCATCGCCGAGCAGGGCACCCACGAGGAGCTCTGCAACCAAGGCGGTCTCTACGCAAAGTTGGTCCGCGCCCAGGACCTGGCGCCGTCCAGCGATGCCGCGTCGAGCAAGACGGCGGTCGAAGATGACAGTGTCGAGTCGGACCTTGAACCGAGGTTGGCCCTCACCAAGACGCACACACGAGAGACGTCAGAGCTTGCGGCTCTGCAGGCGCGTGAAGATTTTGATTTATACAAGCCCCTCGGTTTCTTCCAAACCATCGCCAAGCTGGTGAAACTCACCCCGGAGCTGCGCTCATGGTACATCTTGACTCTTGTGACCTGCGTGGCAGGAGGTGCGTACACCACGAGACCAGATCACTCCGTCTCAAAGGCCGCTGACCTGACGAAACAGCCGCCATCTTCCCCGGCCAAGCCATCTTGCTGGCGCAGGTTCTCGACACGGCCTCGTCGCCCAACATGGTCTCGCGGGGCAACTTTTTTGCCCTCATGTTCTTCGTCATGGGCCTCGGCTGCTTCGTGGCCTATTTCGTCATGGGCTGGGCGTGCAACATGATCGGCCAAGTCCTCACCCGGCGGACGCGCCACGAGCTCTTTGACTGCATCCTCAAGCAGGACCTCCGCTTCTTCGACCGCCCGGAGAACACGGTCGGGTCCCTGATGAGCAAGCTCGACTCGTACCCGCAGTCGATATTCGAGCTGATGGGCATGAATGTTGGTCTCATCACCATTGCCGGCATCAACGTCCTCATCAGTGCCATCCTCGCCCTGGCCATCTCGTGGCGCGTCGCCGTCATTGGCGTCTTTGTCGGGCTCCCACCGATGCTCGTCGCGGGATATGCTCGGGTTCGCCTCGAGGCCAAGATCGACGCAGACATGGGCAAGCGGTACGCTGCCAGCTCCTCTGTGGCGTCAGAGACGACGACAGCCATCCGGACTGTCTCATCGCTCGCCATCGAGCAGACCGTCCTCGCACATTATGCTGAGGAGCTTGATGCGGCCATCCATAATGCGCTGCCGGGGCTGTTCAACATGATGATTTGGTTTGCGCTGACGCAGTCGATCGAGTATTTCATCCTGAGTCTGGGCTTCTGGTACGTCGTCCTGTCCATCTCCGAGCATGATGCGTCTTGCGTGGAACGCGTATGTGCTGACGTGACGACTGTCTAGGTGGGGATCGAAACTCATCTTCGAGGAAAAGGTCACCTTCTACCAGTTCATCGCCTCGTTCATGGCTGTGTACTTTTCAGGACAAGGCGCCGGACAAATGTTCAGCTTCTCGAGCAGTGAGCGGTCACCTTTCCATACAGGCCGCAAACCCCCTGACAACACGCCCGGCTGACCGCGTCTGCAGGTTTCTCCAAGGCCATCCAGGCCGCCAACTACTACTTCTGGCTGCGAGACCTCGAGCCCATCATCCGCGAGACGGACGACAACCGCGACATGGCACCGGCAGAAGGCTGCCAATCCTTCGAGCTCGACAAGATCAGGTTCTCCTATCCCACAGCCCCCGACATTCGCATCCTCCAAGGCGTCTCCCTCACCGTACGCTTGTCTTCGCCCCCTCTTCCCCCCATCCGAAACCACACCGTGCCTAACAAGCCCAAACAGATCAGCCCCGGCGAATTCGTCGCCTTTGTCGGCGCCTCCGGCTGCGGCAAAAGCACCCTCATCTCCCTCCTGAACCGCTTCTACGACCCGACGTCAGGCACCATCACCGTCGACGGCGCCACCCGCTCCCAGCCCTGAACCCGGCCCTCTACCGCCAAAACGTCGCCCTCGTGCAGCAAGAGCCGACGCTCTTCCCAGGCACGATCCGCGACAACATAGCCCACGGCCTCCCGGAGTCGTCGTCATCACCGCCGTCGTCAACTGCATCGCCAGGTTCCGCGCCAGCAACAACAGACGCCCAGATCGAACAGGCCTGCCGCGCCGCCAACGCCTGGACCTTCATCGCCTCGCTGCCCGAGGGCCTCGACACGCCCTGCGGCCAGGGCGGCGGCCAGCAGCTGTCGGGCGGCCAGCGGCAGCGCGTCGCCATCGCGCGGGCCCTCGTGCGCGACCCCGCGGTCCTGCTGCTCGACGAGGCCACGAGCGCGCTCGACACCGAGTCGGAGCGCGTCGTGCAGGCTGCCCTCGCGCAGGCGTCGGCGCCGCGCGCAGACGGCCGCGGCCGCGTCACCGTCGCCGTCGCCCACCGGCTGTCGACCATCCGTGCCGCCGACCGCATCTTTGTCTTTTTTGGTGGCGCCGTCGTCGAGGTCGGCACGCACGAGGAGCTTGTGCGCCGTGGGGGCATGTATGCCAAGATGTGCGAGGCGCAGAACCTGGGCGTTTAGCTTGTTGTTCTTATTTTTCCTTCTTTTGTGCTCCTCCTTGTGTGGTGTTCGGGAACATATCACTCTATAGATTAATTAAGACATGAAGTATATCCTCCCTAACGATTCTGGACTAGTGTAGACATACTGAAGAGCATCCCCGTACCTCACCAAATGTCAAGGAATCACCACATACTACGTCTTGGTCAATCGTCATAAGCATTACTGCGGCTCATTGGACTATCTGGAAACAACTCGAATAGCCTCCTTCTGTGAGCGACGACCACGACAGCCATAGCCACCTCTCCTTACTCATCTCAAGTCTCGATGCAATACCCGAGCGCGCAACAACTTTGAAAAGCAAGGGAATAAAGTGAAACAGAATAAAAAAAAACGCCTGGCGAACCCTGCCAGACGTAGGACATGGAGGTCAAAGTCTAATCCATCCATCCTCTAAACCTAACGCCGGGTTTGTTTGAATCCATAAATGCTTTTAGGGGGGGTATGATGAGGCCCCAGGGTGGCACGAGGCGCGCGTACGGGACGACACGTCTACACGATCACCAGCGGCGGTTTCCCATGGGCTGGCTGTTGGCGTTGGCTAGGATTGTTTGTCAACAAAACCGTCCCCTCGGCGTTCAGTAGCGCGACCTACCTCTACCGCCGCCGCGGCCGCCACGCCATCCGCCGTAGCGACCGCCACCACCACCACCACCGAAGCGAGTCATCTCAGCGAGGCGAGGGTCAATCTCCTGCTTGGCCTCACGTAGAACGTTGACGAGGTCACGAGCCTGCTTGGAGTCTGATCATGCGAGTTAGCAAGACTTGTGCTGGTGCGGATCGGGAGTGCGGCAGGGGGAAAAACTCACTGTCAGTGGTGAAGAGGGTAATGGCGGTACCCGTGGCACCGGCACGACCAGTACGGCCGATACGGTGGATGTAGTCCTCCGAGTTGTTGGGGTAGTCGTAGTTGATGACGTGAGTGATGTTGCGGACATCTTGAGGCAAGAGGGTTAGCATGCGGGTCACGGGGGTTTGTGTAGCAACGTTCCAGCATGGAACCTAGGACGACAGCCGAATACATCGGGCTGTGTCTTTGACTCTGCGGCAGACAGGGCTGTCCAAATGCGTCCAAATGCCATCCATAAGGGTTCAGTACAACTGGAGTCCTCAGACTCGAGAAGACTTTTTGTGTGTGTGAGACGACGACGACAGCTTGACGAGATCAAGAGATGCCATGTCACCGCTTGTACCATGCGCTATACCATGAACTGGAGCATGAGCTGTAGCCTGAGCAGAGTAGGCTGGCGGTACAAGGGTCGACCATCGAGTGTAGCAGAGAGCAGGAGAGCGCCGCCACCACACTGGAGACCAAGACTCCACACAGTGAGAACCAAACAGGCACGAGGATATCAGGCAAGATTGCGCAATGAAGAAAGCCCCTAGACAAAAGAGTAAAGCGCAGCAGCAGGCGTTTGCTGGACGTTGCCGGGGGAGGGGGAGAGGGGAGGGGGGGGAGATCAGGGACATACCGATACCACGCGAAGCCACGTCCGTGGCCACCATGATGGGGCTCTTGCCCGTCTTGAACTGGTCGAGGACCCAGTCACGCTCGTTCTGCTGCTTGTCGCCGTGGATGGACAGGGCGGGCCAGCCATCTTGGCGGAGGAAGCGAGTGATCTCGTCAGCGACGCGCTTGGTGCCGACGAATACGAGGGCCTTGTTCTCCTTGTTCTCCATAGCCTTCTCGAGATGCTTGATCATGCGGTCGCGCTTCTCACTCTCCGAGACAACCTCGACAATTTGGGTGATGCGGTGGTTGGCGGCGAGGTCCATGGAGCCGATGTTGACCTGGATGAAGTCGTCGAGGAAGTCGCTGGCGAGGGCGCGGACCTCCTTGGGCCACGTGGCGGACCACATGACAGTCTGCTTGTCGGGGCGGATCTGCGAGATGATCTTGCGAATCTGGGGCTCGAAACCCATGTCAAGCATGCGATCAGCCTCGTCGAGAACGAGGTAGGTGACGCGACGAAGGTTGGTCTTGCCAGCCTCGAGCATATCGATGAGACGTCCGGGCGTGGCGATGCAGACCTCGACACCCCTAGACAGGTCGCGGATCTGAGGGCCCTTAGGGACACCACCGTAGACGCACGTGTTGCGGATGCGGGACGACTTGCCGAACTTGGCAATCTCCTGCTGAATCTGGACAGCCAGCTCACGGGTGGGCGCGAGGACGAGGACGATGGGGCCGTCGCCGGGGGCGAGGAGAGGCTGGGCGTTGATGTGGACGATGGCAGGAAGGCAGTAAGTAAGCGTCTTTCCGGAACCCGTCTCGGCAATACCGACGACGTCGCGACCGGAGAGGGCCATGGGCCAGCCCTGGGACTGAATGGCGGTGGGCGCAGGGAAGCCCTGGGCCTTGACCTCGTCGATAACGTAGCGAGGGAAGTTGGCCTCGTCGAAGGTCTCGACGGGCTTGGGGATGTCGTTGCCAGCAATGGTCATCTGGTGCTTCTTGCGGAAGGACTCGACCTCGGCGTCGCTGCGAGTAGCAACATCGGGGTGCTCCTTGTAGAACGACTTTTCGAACTTGGGAAGAGAAGCAAGGTCTGGAGGCTTGTTAGAAGGTGTCATGAGCGCGTAGGAATGGAAAGGGATTGACGAACCGAATTCCTGCTTGTGCAGACCGGCACCGAGGTTGGACATGCGGTCACCACCACCACCACCACCGTAGCCGCCGCCGCCACCACCGTAACCGCCGCTGTTGGGAAAAGGTCAGTCATACTGATCGTCTCCTGGAGATGGGAAGATGCAACAAGAGGGGATGAACATACCCATAGCCGCCTCCGCCGCCGCCGTAGCCACCACGGTCATCACCACGGTCGCGGTCGTTGCGACCACCTCCGTAGCCGCCGCGACCACCGCCGCCGTAACCACCACCACCACCACCGCCGTAGCCGCCGCCGCCGCCACCACCGTAGCCGCCACCACCGCCGCCGTAACCACCGCCGCCGTAGCCGCCAGACATGATTATTGTTTGTGTTGTTGAAGAGTCGTAGATTGGGCGGGAGGAAGGAATCGCGTCGCCTGGATGAGACTGGCGCGAAGAAGAACGGACAACGAAAGGAAGTGTATGTGTTTGATCAAGAGCGCGCGACGATCTTCCTGTTGAACACGAGGAAGAAGAAAACAAGAGTCGCACGAGTGATGCGTGGAGGGAATGTTGTTGTTGATGGGAGAGAGAGGGAGAGAGAGGGAAAGTGATGAGTGGGGGATGGAGAGATGAGGGAAGGATAAAGGATGGAAGAAGGGTCCGAGGGAGGGAAAGAGTTCTTTGGGGTACAAAAGGGAAAACGGCGTTTCGGGGGGAGGCGTTGGGCAGGGCCGATTTTTTTTTTTCTCTGCCTGTTCCTGCCCTGTCTGGGTGCTGGCCGGGTGCTCTGTCCGACCCAGCGAGCGACAGAGCGCCCAAGCACCTGCCGCTAAGAAAAAATTCAGGCGCAGGGTCTGTCAGGCTAGGTGCCGCTAGCACAGAAGTGGCTAGATGGTCACGGGCCATACCGTATTAGGGCTAGGTCTGTGGAGCCAGAGGGCTTATCTGATAAGCACTCTTCATGGCAATCAAACAGTGGCAATTGCCATGTCGTTTGGCCTCCACGTCACTGTGGGCCTCACTGCCACCTGCCCGTACTTCATCTGCCGTGCCTTCCAGGTACAGAGGAGAAGGTAGGAAGTACCTGCTCGTGACTGCCTCACCACCCAACGCGTGCCTCCAGGTTCAGATGGAATGGGAAAGGCAGTACCTGAAGGCATACATCTGCCCCCAAATACGACGACGACGATGTCCATTTCAACTCAACAGCATAGGCAATACGCAGGTGCACATTATCACTTTGCATCATGCTTCGCTGGCAGCACGTCTTCGAAACAACAACAGACCGCCTGGACATTTTTCCCCCCATCTACCCCCAGTTTCACCCCAAGAGGCTCCCGACAATATGAAGCCCCCTCTTCCCGTCCTCTGAGCAAGTGAAACGAGCCTACTGGCACGGGAACATCTCCCAGAAGCCAATCTCCATCTGCAAATCGTCAGCATCATCGTCATCGTCGTATGGCACGAGAAGAGCTCCCGTCACAGAATCAACACGAACCTTGGTCCCGTGGATGAAAATCTTGGCCAGCCTCTCGATGCCCTCGGGACTCTGCCGAGCAGCATGCCTCTCGAGCAGCTCGGATCCCGTCCGCAGCGCCTGCTGGTAGTCCTCGGCGACGTAGTTCTCAATCCACTTCCAGTACACGTTGCCCTCGCCGCGCACACTCGCCGTGTCGCCGTGCAGCTGCTTCGCCACGGCCCCGTACCCGAGCAGGCACGGCGCCAGCGCCACCTGCAACCCGATCCAGTCGCCGCTCATGCCGACGTCGAGCACGTACCGCGTGTACGCCGTGCACGCCTGGTGCTCCTCGGTCGCCTCGATCTGCGGCACGCTGATGCCGAACCCCGCGCAGTAGTCAATGTGCAGCGCCATCTCCGTCGCAATGTGATTGACAATGGTCGCGCCGGCCACAATGTCCTCCATCGACGTCGCCTTGTACGACGCCAGCGCGTTGGCCCGCGCAAAATGCACGAGGTAGAGGTAGTCCTGCACGAGGTAGCCCTTGAACGACGCGAGCGGGAGCGTGCCGTTGCCGAGACCCATGACGAACGGGTGGTAGACGAACGTCTTCCACACGTCGCGAACGTCGGGACGGTCAAGGAGATAGTCGATGAAGCGGCCCCTATGTGATGTGTCAGTGCTGTTTTGTCGTCCATTCGTGACGTAGGTTTGCCATGAGGTGAACGTACGGCGCAAAAGGCAGAGAGTAGTTGGAGTGAAAGTGGTTCAACGGCCCATGACCTTGGCCGAACCCAGGCGCTGTTCGGATGGCGCCTTCAATGTAGCGGCACGCCTTCTTGGCTGCCTCGGGCACATCGAGCCCCTTGGCGAGGTTGCTCGCGATGGCCGCTTATTCATGTCAGCACCTCTCCCGAGCGTGGCATCCTAGGACCCCCCCCCGACCACGGAGGGGGAGAAAAGAGGAGGAAACAAAATGCAAAGAAGAAAAACAACTCACAAGCCAGAGAGCACCCTGTGCCATGCGTATTCGTTGACCGCTGATAGGCGCTCTCGATCCTCTCTACAACACCACCACGTCCAACGAGCACATCAACAACAATGCTATTCTCCTCCTCTGTCTCGGCAACCTTGTAGTCCTTCGTCAGAGGAGCATGCCCGCCCTTGACGAGCACCCAATGCGGCCCAAGCTCGAGCACCGCTCTTCCCACCGTCTCAAAGTCCTCCACGCCACGCACCTCGACGGCCGCCCGCCCCGCCGCCTCCAGCAGCATCCTCGCCTCGGGCACGTTGGGCGTCAGCACCGTCGTCTGCGGCAGCAGGCCGGCGAGCAGCTCATGGACCGCTTCGCGCGGCAGCAGCACGGCGCCCGACGTAGCGACCATGACGGGATCGACGACAAGCGCTCGCGGCGTGGTCGTGGTGGCGGCGGCGGCATGCTCGCCGAGCGCCGTCGCCACAACGCGGATCGTCTCGGCCGACGCGAGCATGCCCGTCTTGACAACGTCGACGCCCACGTCTCCGAAGCAGAGGTCAATCTGCCTGCGCAGGAAGGCGCCCGGCACGTGGTGAATGTCGTACACACCCTTTGTGTCCTGCGCCGTGAGCGCCGTCGTCGCCGTCTGCGCGTAGCAGCCGTGGGCGGCGATGACCTTTTGGTCGGCCTCGAGCCCGCTGCGTACACATGTCAGTCATTGTCGAAGCCCCCCCAAAAAAACCTTGATGCTTCGAGCAAAGTCATCGTGCCATGGTCCCGCGTACTGAGCTCCCACGACACGCGTCGTACGTCACAAGAAAGGAAAGTCACTCACGCCCCGCCTGAATTGTCCGACCCCGCGATTACGAGCACTCGACCCATCTGCTGTGCCATTATTGCGTTATGCGCTCCTGCAGGAAACGAGTGAAAGTCTCAAAAAGTGGAAAGGAAAGCTGCAAGGGGTGAATTCTGCGCTGAGTATTCGGAGGGTGCTGCACTTGATGATGCAGCATGTCCAGACGACGTGTGGAGAAAAAAGGGCGCAGAGCCCAGTCTCTCGGCGCCGGTACCGGTTTCCATCGGCCGTCGAGCCGGACCGGACGCGGCGGGCCGTGGGCGTTGGAAGCGAGACTTCTTCGCTTTTACTCTTGCTTTTCCATCTCCCACGGCTAATACACTGTTGTCCGACCGCCTGACAGTGCAGAGGCAAAAAAAAAAAAAGAAAAAAAAAGACGCTTCATGTGTGATAGTTTCAGTACCCAATTCCGCACAGTCGAAGTTTGCCTTAGACTTTCATGTTTCATCTTGAATTCATCTGGCTGCTGGATTTTCAACAAAACCAACCGCCGGATCGTGAAAGACCCCAAACTCCCAGACAGGGACAAACAGCCCGATTTTCCGTAGCCATGAATCATCGACGAAGCCGAACTGCGCCTGCTCGAGCTTATATGCTGCCACAGGAAAAAAAAAAAATCCAACATGTCAGTCCCGGCGCCGTTGATCCCACCACCGTCATCCCTCATGCAGCCAACCCCTGATCTCGTCGTCCCCAGTCGCACGCGTAACCCCCGTGCAAGCAAAATCAGGACCAGCTTCCGCAGTGGTATCATATGTACAACGGCTGCCTTTTCTTTACCCCCCCCTTGAGTCCTCCAAAAGAATCCATGCCCACGGTCATCCCTAAAAGACTTGGGTATCTCATCTGCAAGGCTGGCTAGCCCAAGATGCCTCTCGACCCCCCGTCTGGCTCTCCTCGTCAGAAGAGCTCTCTTCCTCCTCACTGCTGCTGTCTCCCTCTTGCGCCATGCCGTTCCGCGACGGGTTCGAGCCAACCCCCAATTGCGAGACGTGAGTGCCGAACCCGCCGGCACCAAACTTGTTTGTGATGGCGCGGCCACCCGCAACCTCCCGGCTCGACCGGGCTTCAGACCGCGTGTCAGTGGCGTTGGAGACGCTGCGCTGGCGCTCAGTCCGCGACTCGTCCCCGGATGCCGATGCGTTCTCCTCCTCCTCGATGATTCGATTCTTGGGTTTCAACATGTCTTCCTCCTCCTCTGTATCGGTGTCTTCCTCGAACACAATCGTCCGCAAGACGCTCTTGTCGAACAGCTCAATGACCATTCTTCTGATTGGCAATCGATAGTGGTTGTACTCGAGCATGGCGATGATCCTCTTGAACAGCTTGGGGCTCCTAAACCCGGGGGCCTTGCGGAGCTTCAGCTGCTTCAAGTCGCTGATGGCGTGCTTGAACAGGATGATGTTGCTGAGGTCCACAATCAGGTCGACGATCCTTTGGTTCGTCGCCGCCTCATCATGCGCTGGCGGGAGCTCCTCCTTCTCCAGCGGCGGTCTCGCAGGCATCGGCGGCGGAGGCGTGAGAATCGTCTTCTGCGTATCGGGAAGCCGGATGAGCGGGGCAATCGTGTGCTTCCACGGCTTGTAAGAGAAGAAGCGGGAGAGATTGTCTGGAACGCAGAAACCGACCGAATGCCCCCTGTTATTGAGGTTCGAGTCCCATCCGCACTCCAGGAGAATCTCCAGGCCGTGGATGGAGCGCGATATGAGGCCTAGTACGAAAAAGGCAGTGCCCCGGAGACTCATCATGTCGTGCTCCTGAGCAATCTTGACGATGTCTTGAACGACGTCGCATGACTCGAGGAAGGGTGCGCCCAGCTCCATGGACCCCACGTTGCCCACCGCCCACATGCATCCCTTGACCTTGAGCAAGAGCTCAGGATCCGCAGACTGCATGCCGTAGTCCCGAATGGTGCTGGCAAACTCGGCGAAATGGCCCTTGTCCCTCAGCATCCTGCAGCCCTCCTCTGTGCGCGCGAGCTCGCGGTAGAAGTGCGGTGGCAGGTGGCTCTCAGGCTCCATGGATTCAGCTTGAGCCTGATCTACCATGCTCAACCGCTGCTGCTGCTCGTCGGCATGATCGGAAAATGCCTTGGCTAGGCTGGTCTCGATGAGGTCAACATATGTGTCGTTGCGCCCGAGAAACCAGTCATCCATCTCGTTACTGATGTAATCCAACCCATCAAGGTAGTGGTACCCGCTCGATGACGACAGGAAGCGCAGAAGAAGCGGCGCGCTCATTTCCCCCAGGTGGTCCATGGCAGGCCGACATTGGACCACGTACTCGAGGTAGGCTTTTTTGTTGCACGACTTTTCGAGGATCTTCACGGCGGTCCGACACACCTCGACGTCCGGATCGTACAACTGATCGACCAGTTTCCTGATGGCCCACTTCCAGTCCACTTTGTCGTGGTTGCGGTTGGCCTCGTTGAAAGGACGTGTCGCATACTTTCTAAGTACCTTTGTCGCTATGATCCGCGTCTCTCGGGTGCCCGACGTCAAGGCCTGCTCAAGAAGGACTCTGGTGTGGCCGGGAACGGTGTAGTCGAAATTCAGCAGGAGCAGATGGATCAAATCAGGCCGCTGCTTATGCGACAGGATATGATACATCATGTTGAACATGCGCCATCGCTGCAGAAGCTCGAGACCCTTGGGGTCGCTGCTAAGGACACCCAGCATGGGAAAGTAGCCGGCGCACAGGGTGGTCTGAAGTCGATACGGGGCGAACACGGGATCTGCTGAAGTGAGGCCGCTACTCTGCTGGGTTGTCAGTTTTGGGGGGAGGGTGGGGGGGGGGGGGGGCAGGACAGGAGGCGAGGGCGCCACTCACAGGGTCACACTGCGCAAGACACTCTGCCAGCTGCCTGAGTAGCTTGCTATCCCGCAAGAAGACGATACCCTCGTTCGACTGCAGGAGAGTGTGCATCAAGGCACACCCAATTCGGACGTATTTTTGTGTGTTCTTGTTGCTGCTGAGATCCGCAAATCGATTCTTGAAGGGACGATAGAAACTCATGATGCGATTCATAAACTTCGACACTCTGATCGTCTCGTCGAGTCGCTTCCCATTCTGGAGGGGGCCATCGATCATCTTGAGAATGGTGTCCCAATCCCACTTGAGGTAGTTTGAGCTGTTGAGAACATTCGACTCGACGAGGAGTTGCCTGAAGACCGTGTCCTGAATAACGACACCCGGGTTGCCCTTTTGTTGCTCTTCGGCAAGCATGGTCAGGTTGTCGTGTGACAGGGACGCGATGCCGGGCAACCCATCGGACATCCTGTACAGAGTCTTGCTGACTTGGCTGATCTGGTAGACAATGCCCGAGGAAATAAACCGTTCATCGTCCTTGAACTGCGTCGCAGCAGCAAACAATTCGGGCAACAAAGGCAGTTGCGTGCTGGCTGATTGGGGCAGTAGTCTGCTTGCAAGCTTCAGCACCTCTCCGATGAGCAGACAGGTCTTCCTCGTCAGTGGCGCCTCGCTATTCTTGGCGACATGAAGCAGATTGGGCAGGAGGTCGCATTTGACCAGGACCGAGAGCAACAGGGCCGTGTAGTGGTCAAGGAAACTTTGCTCCTCGACCGCCTCGTCTTCCATCAGTGGTGGTGCGCCTGAACTGGCTCCTGACGAGTTTGAGGTGGATATTGACTTGAGATTGGCCACTCTCCCGTACGTCGTCAAACGACGGCCAGCCAAGAACGACGTGGCCCACGATGGCGGTTTGATGCGCAGGAGGATGAAGACGAGATCGACCACGGTTTCCTTGATCATGGGCTGAGGCAGGACCATACTCCGCATCAGCGACCGGATCGCTCGAAAATCGTGCATCCCCAGAACCATGAATCCCGACCAGCTCCTGAGCACTCTGGCAATGGCCTTCGAATTCTGCTTGAGCAAGCTCTCGGTTCCGGCAGTGGGGTCGGTGAAAGCCGTGAACATGACCTCGAGATCGTACCCTGAGCGTAGGTATTTTCGCTGTTGCGGATTGTCAAAGAGATACAGGAACGTGTTGGCGATCGTGTCGGGGGACTTGTAGCTGCCCTCGTTGAGCGCCTCAGACAGTGGAGGCAGCGCTCCGGACGCAATGGCCAGCGGCGGGCAACGGAGGAGGATTTCGGCAAGCGTCTCGACGCACATGGACTGCAGTCTGTCGTCCTCTTGCGCAGCTACAGCGGCTATAGCGCGCACTACTGCTCGGGAGATCTCGTTGACGCCGCCCTTGACGTCGAGGAAGGCGCGCACGAATTTGAGGGCTTGCTCCCGCTCCAGATCTGCCTTGCGGTCCTTGATGAGAGAGCTGTGGCCTTGTCAGTTGGGGGTGGATTCCAAGCGAGTCTGAACACACTTACGTGATGACCAGATAATCAGTATTCAAGTTTCTGATCTTCTTCAGCGACGAGACATCTGAAATGGCGTAGCGAACCATGCGGTAGCCCGCCGCCACAACCTCTCTGGCATCGCTCAACAACATGACCTGCATTCGCAGTCCGAAGACGGGCCAGACCAGGTCGTACTTGAGACTGGGATGACGTCGGAAGAGGTCCACGAGGGCGTTTCCACGGCTGACATAATACTCGGGTCCCATGCCCTCGACTTCCAGGTCTTGCAGAATCTCAGTGAGAGAAAAGGTCGGAGACTGTTCGACAGGCTCGTCAAAGTCCGACCCAGCGCCGCTCCGTGACACGCTATGCGGCGAGCGTAAGCCATTCGCCGGATGTGCACCGGGCTCTGCCGTCCTCGACCTCGTGGGCGTGGAAGGCGGTAGCTTGACGGCCTGCGCCTCCGCTATCCTCTGCCTCAGCTCTCGAATCTTGTTGTTGGAGGCGTTGAGCTCGTTCTCGACGCGGGCCCTCTGCTCCTTGGTCTGCTTGGCTTTTTTGCTGTTGAGGGCATCCAGCATGTTCTCGCTGCCCTCCTTGATCTTCATTTCGCGATTGAGCTGCTCCCGCAGGGCGTTCAGCTTCTGCTCGGCCATGGTGGCCTCGTTCTCCTCCAGCTTTTCATTGTTGAACAGGTCAGCACGGGACCCGGCCCGGGACGAGTTCATCTGGCTGCGCAGTTCGGAGCTGAAGCTGCCTGGGGCGACGGAGGGGTTCAGAGAGGAGCCGCGGGGCGCAAAGTTGGCGGCGGAAGCGGCGAGGCTCCTGGCGCTGCTGCTCGTGGGCCCGCTCGGGGGGTAGAGGTTGCCGGTAGAGGCGCCATCGCGGTCGATGCTCGCGCGCGTGGTGTTGACGGCCGAAGGCTGCTGCTGGGAGGGGTGCGCCTTGTCCCTGGCCGTCTGGGATACGCCCAGCATGGCGATCGAACCGTCTATGGGCTCCGCAGCTTCTGGCGCGCACCCTCGCTACGTAGCATCCGGGCTGGCCTGGCGGGGGGATGGCGCGAGGGTTCGGAGACAATGGCGTCGTGTGGTCCTGTCGATCGGGATGGGTGGGATGGAGTCGGACACGCACGTGTAGGGACTCGGGGTGGGCCGGATACACTGTTTGCGTTCTGCAGAAAACGATGTCGGCTCGGCCGTCGAGAAAGAGGGCGAGGGGTGCAGAGTGTGGTGTAGCTGATGGAGTGGAGAACTCGATCGTTGTTTGTTGGTCACAGACGAATAGTGCGGTGGTGGTGGTGGTGGTAGTGGTGGTGGCGAAGGTAGATACTCGAGTGACGGAGCAGATGACTTGGGAAACGAAGGAGCGCTGCGTCAACAGTCTGGACGAAGAGGCGGCGTGTGGAGTTTGCGCCCGTCGAGCAAAGATTGTGTACCTCACCCAAGACAAGCAGAAGAGGGGAGGGGAATGTGGTTCGAGATGGCGGTAGCTGGTGCGGCCGCTCGCTTGCGTAACGTAGGCAGTTGGCAGGTAAGGTACCTTTGGCGTTGTGGTGTTGGATGAGGTAGGTGGGAGGCAAAGGTGCCTAGCGCCCATGTTCACTGTCCAGTATGCACCTGCTGCGACCGCGGCCGCGAGACCAACTGGGCTGGGGGCTGCACTGGGGGAGGAGCAACGCCTGCCACGTTGGGGCAAGGATGGCAGCCGCTTTTCCTGTCTGGGCCAGCGAGCGAGTGTGTTCCCTCCCCCCCACCACCTCCACCTGGCTTGGGTGTGTGAAGTGCGCTGAAGCTCAGCACTGGCCTGGCCGAAGGTGCGCTAGCCCTCGGCAGAGATAAGGTTGAGATAAAACAGTGCGATAGCGATAACGAACACCAGCAGGTCTGCCTCAGCTCCGTCTGTCAGAAGACTCATGGCGGGCGCCCCCTTCTGAGCCTCCATGCATCACGACTGAGAGGGATCGTGGGACAGTGTGGCGCGCTCTGCTATCAGGTTGACGATCGATGATCGATTGCTTCGCATCCTGGCCTGGCGACAATCATGGCGTTCAGCCTGGTTGCGGAGAGGGCTATGTCGAGACCGGATGGAATGTGAAGCATGTGTGAACCAGCTCTGTTTGGCTTTCTTTTCTACCAGGTCAAATCAAACAAGGTGACTTGTTTTGCGACCTTCTTGTCTCTCGAAACATGACAGCTCTCTTTGTTCGGGAGAGCATCCCTTTCACCCCATCCCCATCCTGGCGACGTCGCGAAGTCTGACACCAGTTCGGCTCAGACGACAACATCAAGACGGAACCGCCATCCTCGGGCGGCGCCGAGTCCCAGGGCCCCGATCCATACGGCCCCGATACTCATAAAACTTTGTCATGTTGGTCGAGCCAGACGGAGATGCAGCAGGCAGAAAATCGTCAGATGGTGGTGCCCCTCTTCGGCCTTCGCTTTCAGAGCTCCAGAGGCCGAAGCATTTCCAATGGGCCCCCCCCTCGAGGCCACAAGACCCTCACATGCAGGCGACAGGGTCGTCCAGCACGAGATGCAGCCCTTTTCACCAGTGGCTGACGGCCCTGGGTCCCCTGAGGCCCAGTCGGGATGCGCGCGATGCAATGGCGGGGCTCTGCGGGCGCCCCTCCATCCTGGAGCTTCGTCCAGAGGGTATCGGCGGGCTCCGGCGCGCGACACTAGGGTGAGACCACCGACACCCCGACAAGACCCCTCCATGATGGGCCTCGGACAGAGAGAGAGAGAGAGAGAGCCCTGGCGCGAGCGATGGCTTCGTGGGGGACCGCGACCAGATGGCGCGGGATATATAAGATAGATGCACTGCGTTTCCCCCCCTTCTCGTCTGGTGTGCTGGATCTTTGACCTCTGCCGCCTCTTGCCGCGCTGTTCTTATCATCGTGCATTGCATTGCCTCTAGCTCGCTTCTTACTCCGAATCCCTTCTCCAACTCGTGTGCCTCGCTCGCCCTGGCCTTTCCCCACGACGACTGCCCCTCATTGCTTATCACCCCGCCGCTACCTCACGACCACCTGCCAGACCTCGGTGCCTCTGCGACTACAACTAGGACCAGTCGCCCCTCCCTCTCGACCCGTCTTTCCTCCCTACCGTAGGAACCTACCTAACAACAACTATCTCTCGTATCCCGACTTCCACCAAGCTCATCCATCATGCCTGTCCTCGCTTCTGCCCGCTACGGCAAGGACAATGTCCGCGTCTTCAAGGTCCAGAAGGACGGCCCCGTGCAGACCGTCACCGAGATGACCGTCTGCGCTCTCCTCGAGGGGGCCATTGAGACGTCGTACACCGTCGCCGACAACTCGGTCGTCGTGGCCACCGACTCGATCAAGAACACCATTTACATCAAGGCCAAGGAGCACCCCATCAACCCGCCGGAGCTCTACGCCTCCATCCTCGGCACCCACTTCCTCGACACGTACGCCCACATCTCGGTCGCCAACATTCGCGTCACCGTCCACCGCTGGACGCGCCTCGACGTCGACGGCAAGCCGCACCCGCACTCCTTCCTGCGCGACGGCGAGGAGACGCGCACCGTCGAGGCCCGCGTCACCCGCGACGGCGTCGCCCTGACGAGCGGCATCCAGAAGCTCACCGTCCTCAAGTCGACCGGCTCGGCCTTCCACGGCTTCGTCCGCGACGAGTACACCACCCTGCCCGAGACCTGGGACCGCATCCTCTCCACCGACGTCGACGCCTCCTGGACCTGGACCTTCCCCGAGGGCCTCGCCGCCGTCGAGAAGGACGTCGCCCGCTTCGACGCCGCCTGGGACGCCGCCCGCGCCATCACCCTCAAGACCTTTGCCGAGGACGAGAGCGCCAGCGTCCAGAACACCATGTACAAGATGTGCGAGCAGATCCTCGACGCCGCCCCCGAGACCAAGACCGTCTCCTACGCCCTGCCCAACAAGCACTACTTTGAGATCGACCTCAGCTGGCACAAGGGCCTCAAGAACACGGGTGCCGATGCCGAGGTCTACGCCCCGCAGTCTGGCCCCAACGGCCTCATCAAGTGCGAGGTCGCTCGTTCGTAGCGCGGACGGCGTGTGCCTGGTGTGAGTTTACTTCTTCTTGTTCTTTTTTGGGGGGGATTAGAGAGATATACCTTGGGTCCTGTGCATTTCCGGGCGTCTTTTGGAATATGGAGCCGTGGCAGATCTGCCGTCGGCGTAGATGAAATAAATCAATCAATCGAAATCAACAAATAGCCTTGATCATGTGTGATTGATAGGAGATCTGATCGATGTGAGCTTTACTGTCATGTTACGATCCTTGTGCACACAGCTTGCGCAAGACCCCGTATTGTGACCAGAACCGACGCCAGGGCCAGCCAGAAACGTCTGCCCACAACACTACTGACCTGGGCTCGGTCAAACTCGGGACACCAACAAGTCAATTTTCGTGAAAGCAGAATATTTGCTGATACAGCTCATAACATAGACCTCTCGCCATGCTTGGTATGATGATACAGAGTATACACGGCAATGCCTTGAAACACCTCCCCCCCCCAAAAATCGCAAGGCAATCGACAAATCGTCCTCGTTCCCCCTCCGCAGACCAAGACGCAGCCCTACACCCTCTTCAGCCCGTCCTCGCGAATCGCCTTGGCGGCCTCCTCCCACCCCGTCTCCCCAACCTTGACATCGCCGAACCGAATGACGTTCTGCTTGTACGGGTGCGCGTCGCCCTCGAAGGCCTTGAGCCGCGCCAGCCTCTTGTCCCTGAGCCTGTTCTTCGGCAGCATGCCGCTGACGGCCTTGCGCAGCACCTCGGCGCCGCCGTGCTTGGCCATGAGCACGTCCATCGTGACGCTGCGCAGCGAGCCCGGCCGCGTCGTGTGGCGGTAGTACGTCTTCTGCCACATCTTGCGGCCCGTCACGTGCAGGGCCGCGCAGTTGGTGACGACGACGTAGTCGCCGCAGTCGGTCGAGGGGTCCCATGTCGGCTTGTTCTTGCCCATGAGGAGCACGGCGATGCGGGAGGCGAGGCGCCCGAGGGAGGGGGGCGTGACGGAGGGCTGCGTCGAGAGGGTTGGGTGCGGCGTCGAGGCGGAGATTTGATGCCAGACGCGGGAGTAGGAGAGCCGCGTCTACGTTGGAGAAGGTCAGCAAAGGGGCCATCGTGAGGGAGGTTCGTTGAGTCCGAAGGGGGGGGGGGGGGGGGGGGGACAGGTCGTACGAGGCCAATAGTTTGCGACATGATGGGCTACCTGAAGGGCCGAACCCTCATGAACCGCACGGTAGGTAGTTGGCGTGAAACGTGCGCTTGAATGTCGCTGGCAGGACTCCGTCGCAGGTCGTCGTTGAGCTTGTTGGCGTGGATGGCCGTGATGCCGTACAGAAAGTTTGGTGCCAAGCTCATGCGATTGAGATCTGCGCTGATGACTCAGCAGATATTGGTCACGTGGCTGGTGTGCACCATGGCTTCGGACACCAACCGGTGACAGCTGCGGAGACCGAAGGCCGGAGCCGTGGAACATAAGGCGATTTCAAAGCAGCTCCGGCATCATGATGAAAAGGACTCATGCGTTCACTAGATCTACTCTACCTGCGAATCTTCTCATACCGTGACTAGACTATGGTCTATTGCCTTTCTGATTTTTTAAACCACTATCGATCTTTGCTCCCAACGACGAAGACTGGCCATCTCAAAATGACGGCAGTCCACCCATTTCAGGTGAGCCACATTACATCGCGGTCATGTCCGACAAGCCATATGGTCAAACTTGGAACACAGAGACAATTCAGAGCAATGTTCACGGCAGCCCATGACAGCAAACTCGCCTGGCTGAGTGATGACTGATAGCAAGATGCCTAGACACTCTTCGCTGTCCACATGACATGTGACAGCTGCGTCAAGGCCGTTTCAGATTCCCTCTACCAGCTGCAAGGCATCACCAAGGTCGACGCCAATCTAAAAGACCAGCTCGTTTCGGTAGAAGGCACAGGTATGTCGGCTTGCCTCAGGAGAACCTTATCGGTGGCTTCACAGCCTACGATTCCCGTCGCTGACGCCGATGTGCAAACGCCCAGCCGCCCCCTCGGCCATCGTAGACGCGATCCAGGCGACAGGGAGGGACGCCATCCTTCGAGGATCAGGCGCATCAAACAGTAAGTGCAAATTCGCCTGTTTACCCCCCCCTGAGACGGATGCAACCATTTTGCTTGCCCCCTTTTGCGCCAACGTCGTTGATTCACTGCCTCGATGATCTTTGAGTTTTCTCGCCTCCCCTCAACCACGATGCCGTGTCACCTTCCTGTGCACATTCCCTTCTGTGATGAAGGTTCACGCGCAGACTGACAACTCTTGTTAGGTGCGGCTGTCAGTATCCTTGAGTCTTTCTACCAGCCGAGTGAAGTCTCTTCTACAGAGACTCCCGATGACGGTCGCAAGCGCGAGGTCCGGGGCCTCGCCAGGATGGTCCAGGTCTCACCCACAACAACGCTGATCGACCTGACGGTGCGCGGTGTCACACCCGGCACGTACCAAGCGACCATTCGTTCGTCCGGGGACCTTCACGATGGCGCCGCCTCCACCGGTGGCATCTGGACGGAGGGCGAGAAAGGGGGCTCGCCAAAGGGTGAACTGGGCAGCTTCACTGTCGAAAAGAACGGCAAAGCAAGCGCGTTCCTGAATCACCCTTTCCAGATTTGGGAGATTATCGGTCGTGCCATGGTCGTCTCCAAGCAGGATGACGCTGCCGCGCCGTTGAAGAACGATGCGGACACGCTTGTTGGTGTGGTTGCGAGGAGCGCCGGCATGTGGGACAATGACAAGACGGTTTGCTCGTGCACGGGCAAGACGTTGTGGGAGGAGAGGCAGGATGAAGTCAAGAAGGGGATGCTCTGATATTAGTTCGGTTGTGAACATCATAGAACGCAAAGATTAAGCGCAGTTATTGGAGACACTGGTCATCAATGCGGTGGCACTTGGTGATGGTTCGTCCGTTATGTTCCAAAAATTGTCCCATGTAACTTGGGGCAGGTGATATATGTCTTCAGAATACTGCTCTGTTAGGCCAGGACTGCCAACAAGTGAATGCGCAAGCCTTGAGTGAGCCTTACGCACACGTCAACAATCTTGAACTCAGCCGCGTAGCACAATTCAACTCAGTTACGATGTTCGGACTGAAAATGGCCTCCACCTAACGATATTGTTCTAAGGGATTCTGTAGATCGACGGGAACATCAAGGAGCAGCGGAAGCCAAAAGATTCGTGGCTTTGCTTCACAGGGTATTGGCTCGCATTGGTGGCTCGCATTGGTTTCGAAAACACCCCCAAGGGCAATGGAAACTCCACGGATAGGGTAAGCCGTGGTTCTTGTTTCGCGGTGCATCTTGATCGACATCTCCAGCTCACGATGTCCTCCTTACACCTGAAGCAATGAAATCCTGGGATCTGGACAGGGCCTTTCCTCCTGAGATGCCAAGAGCCCCTCCTCTGTCCTGATAGACAGGGGATCGACGCTGCCGAGACTGGCCCGCTGTGAAACCGTAGAGCGGCTCGGTGAGGCAGAAGAATTTCTGTCGGAGGACGGACGCCGCTTGTTTTTCTATGTACGGTGAGCGTGGCTTCCAGCGGGAAAACCTGTCTGAGGTTGAGCGCGCTCCTTCACTCGACACTACTGAGACCACGAGCTGGAATTATTCTGGCCCTGCCAAGGTAGTGTGCCCGAAAAGGCCACCTGGATGCTTCGTCCCATACACCACTGGCTGGATTCTATAACCCGAACGCCATAATTGTGACGGGGAATGTGAGACGAGGGTGTCAAACTAGGGGCCAGCCCTAGAGCACTACCGGGTCATCGCCAACCTGTCATCCACCCGCACAGCCAGCAATCCGCGGGCCTGGTGGTTTGAGGACCGGCGTTCTGCTCTCGTTACGGGCTATAGGTGGCGTTCGCCGCCAGTTTGACAGCCGGCTAGTAAGGGGGCCTGCGAGAGTGCACGGATCGGAAGCCGGTAGTGAGAACAGACGAGATAACCTTAAGCTGGAGACCGTTATCACCAGTGCCAGGCTGGTGTAACGGCCAGGGAGAGACGTTACTCCAGGGACTGCCGACTCCACGGTGCGGTGTGTGATGATCATATTGGTCTTGGCAACGTCAGCGATCTGGAGACTGTTTGTGGTGATGCATGCGACAGGGCCGTCTCAATGTCATCACCAGTGACTGTGCCTGGCGCACAACGCTCGGCAAAGCCGCTGTCCACTTGTACTGAAAACATCCGAGAAGAAACGCTGCTTCATCCCGTCATGCTGTACAACAGGAAGGCATTCTCTCCTCGCGGCCCACCGGCTTCATGAAGTGCCAGCTCTGGGACTTTTTCGAATAGTTAATCGCACCCGCGACATGGCGTTGAAAGGCTTCCAGCCGGAACACTGACCCCCTGTTTCGGAGGCGCCCTCCGAGCGGGGCTGCACACGACAGGGCAGAAAATGCAAAACAGGCTGAAGGATGGTTGAGTTTCGGGATGTCTGTGACGTCCTGCTGACAAGGATGGACAACTCGGGATGAAGAGACGATCTGGTAATTCTCCCGATCTGTGATGCTTTGGGTCTTGATCATTGTAGTGATTAGGTAGGTACCTAGGCAGGTAAGTGCTTGATGGCACCTTCGGTACGGCACATGTCGACAGGGGTCTGTCCTTACATCAGCATTGGGCAGGATCCCCACACACGCCAGCCCCGCAGACCGAGATGTCAGTCGGGGCAGGCAGGCGTCTCTGGGCCATGGGCCATGAGCACGAACTCTGATTGCAATTCAACCTTCCGACTCGACATCAACGACAACAGAATTGCAGTGCAGTGTCAAGCACACAGTCCAATGTCAGGAGTAGCCCTATCTCCTCATGGGAGAGGCTGAAGAAAAGAAACGATGGGCTCCCAACGATGTCCGAGGACAGCTCACCACCTCCGAAACACCACGTACCAGACTTTCCAGGGTGTCGTGATCCCCAATGCCGCGACGGGCATCCCGACCAACAACCAACCACACGCGGCAATGGCGTGCCGTAAGAGGCAACGCTACTGTATC